CCCTTTCTTGCTTATATGTACATTTTAGTTATAGTGTTCAACTAGCATGTATTAACATTTTGAAGTTTAATGAAAATGTACAAACTAATGTCCCTCTTAAGCCTATTGCCCTCTATTTTATTGACATAAGTAACTTAACTGGAGAAAAGAAATCTCTTGGGAGTATATTGTCATAAGCTTTCTTTCCATTTAAACTAGGTTACTGTTCTGTGTTGATCCCTTTTTTCTGTATATTTGTCATGAAAGTGCTTGCATCTTATTGATGTATTTGAACAAATAAATTTGCAGATCATTATTCCAAAGATATGGATATGCTGAAATGGAATAATTTATCTGTTTGTGTTTCTCTTCAGCATGCACGCAAATAATTATCTGCTTCATTGTATAAGATAGATCACGTGACAGATTATGACTGGAATGTGTTTGGATGACAAACTTCACTTGAGACTTTAGCATATGGAATTCTTTAATTAAATTTTCAGGCCTACTATTAAGATGAAATTCAAAATGACCACCATCCTGCATCATTTTAACCCAAAATATATTTAAGTTTGATAAATGTAATCCTAGAGGATAAAGACTTCAGATTTAAACTAATGAATTTAAAATAGTACACCAGAAATCTCAAGTTAAAATCTGTTTTAAACGAAGGGCAAAATAATGCTATAAACTTACTAAAGTAAACTGAACATAAAATACAGCCTAATTCTCTTAACAGGACACAAGTGTTGCAAGACTTCCTACATCCCATTTAATTTAGCATTTGTGAAAATGCAATGGGACAAATTCCTAGAATGATGTTCATTAGTTCATTCAGAATGTATGTGGAGTATAATTTTAGAATTAATATTTTGAACTGCAAATATTTTGTGAAAGTGAATAAATATACTGGTTGTTGATTCAGAAATGCATTAGGAATATATAGTTGTATATTATTTAACATATATAAGAACATGGCAATGAAGTAAGCATATAAACATGTAATTATATACACATCATCTACAGGTAGGCGGTAGTGGAACTAAAGTCACCCATGTCCATAGCATCCCTTAAAAGCTATACGTGTTCCCTAGGCTGTGCTAAATAGGTGATAGCAATCAGTCCTAACGCCTCCTGGGCCTCACGGCAATAACAAACAGAAAAGTATAGGATGCAGCTATCTCCCCAATCCATATTTTTCAATTCTCATAACAGAGAAATTAATGTTGTTTAATAAGGTTATGGCTGAATGGGAACTCTCACCGGTATGCTTTACACAATGTGATATTGCTTGGTAGAATTTGCGTCTTGTGATGAAAAGCTTGTTCCCTAATTTTTAGTTACAAATAACTGTACATTGGTAATTTCTGTTGGAAACAAATCAAAAGAATAACTAAAGCCTACATATTGGATTTTAATTTTTTAATTTATAGGGGGATAACATAAACAATGTTTGCGGTTTTCCAGAATATGGATTAGTAAATAGTAAAGTAGTGCTCTTACTAAACTCTTGTGGGCTAACGTCTACATGGGTTACATTTCCCAATAGGCAGGAAATGGCATCTTTCATAATCCAAGGCTCAATAAACCAAAATACTAATTACTATAGTGTTTATGGTTGCAGTACTTCCTCCATTTGTTTCTCTATAGCCCAAAATGGGTTTTTTTTTCTTCTCTACTCTTAGATTTTATTTNGTGTGTGTGTGTGTGTGTGTGTGTATTCTTAAAGGACAGCCTGAGAATCGTTCTCAGACGGTACTTTTCTCCTCTGCTTTTAATTTAAAAAAATATATATGCACATATTGTAGCGATTCTCTTCCTGAGAATGGTTCTGTAGCCTTAATTGTCCTTCGAATCTTATTTCTGAGATTTTGCCTTATGTTCAGCAAAGATGGACATGGGGAGGCTTTGCATTTTTGTTTTGCCAGGGGAGAGTCAAGGTCAGGCAGGATGAAATTGAAAAAAAAAACAAAAAACGATGGAATGATCTCTCTGATCCGTGGTAGAGAAGACAAAACACATTAAAATGTGTGGGATAGATTCCGTCTCCCCAAAAAGGTAGATGTAGCTCTTCAAAATTGTCATTTGTCTACTGTCGCTTGTTCGCTTTTTATTTCTGATTTACAAACAGCCCTGACATTTGTTGGAGAAGATAAATAGAACACTCTCCTGGGACTTCCTGCACCATAATGAAATAATGAGTATCCAGGAAGAGTTTAATATTATTTTAATTAAATATGGAGTTGGAAAACAGGTTGTGAAAAAGTTAATGATAAATGCCTCTAGATTACTTCTCTTCACTTTATTTCCCTCCCTACATATATTTAAAACACTGAAGATTCACAGATTTTAATTTGTTTAAACACATGTTCCTTGTTTACACAAACTACAAACAGGTACATGTTATATTTATAGCTAGAGCTACTAAAAGATTAACAGAGTACAATGGTTGTGTACTTGGTACCCTTTAATGATTCAGTTATCTTCATTTTGTAACATTTCCATCTTCTATCAAGAGGAGTCATATGTAGGATCCAGTGCATTTCAATATTCAAAATTATACTCCTTTTAGTTCCCAGTGATAAATAAAATTTCTCTTACTGAGATTTCAACTAATCTAGCTTTCTTTGTTCTAGTTAAGTTAACTTGAAGAACTATTTTTTTAACAAAAAGTGCTGAAGTACAATAGATGCATATATGTACGTTTCCCATATGTGGAATAACCATGAGGAGACTAAAATATACATTTTTAAATTAATAGGATTTTCTCAGAGTTTGAACATAATGATTTTTTGCAGGCAGATCAGACTCAAAATATATCTTATGTTAACGATTTACACACTAAATTTTTAAGAGGTCCCTGAGCTGAGTTGTAGTTTGGGCATGTATTTAGTATAGAAGTCATGAAAGCTTTGAATTTATCCATATTTTTATTAAAGGTAGGAGATATATGATACTCCAGCTACATTTGGGGGGGGGGTTTCTTGGTGCTCCTCTCAGATTCTATATACATACAGTTGCTTAAAGTTGATTAAAACTGCTTTAAAGATATTCCCTTTTGGTTAAGGTACCAGTCCTTTAAAAAAATATCCTTACTCTGTTTTACAACAATCTCAGTCTGTTATTTTCAGCCGTTAGCTCTAAAAAAGCTCCTTATACCCAGAGGCTGGCCTTGAAAATACTGTTGGTCCTAATAAATAATTGGCTCTCCTAGGACCTTAGACCACCTATTTTTGCAAGAGCTTCTGTCTAAGATAGAGCCTTGAACTGGGAAATGAAGCATAATTTACACAGGCCTCTTTATAACAAAGCAAATCATTTGAAATAATGGCATTGTCACTATTAAATGTAAAAATATTTGGAAGTTGCTAGTTGCCAGTTTTGAGGCTTAGGTAGCCCTTGTTTTACGACCTGTTGCTTAACTGCTGTTCAGAGTTACAACAGACTTGGAAAAAATTAACTTATGACCTGTTGAAGTTATGACTGCCAAACCACCACCACACTCAGATCGCATTTCAGGTGCTTGGCAACTGACTGGAATTTATAGCTAGTTGTGGTGTCACATGATGGTGCTTTATAATTTTATTTTATTTTTTGCAGTTTGTGGCCAAAAAATGCCATTGGATCATCTGCATTTAAACTTACGACCACATGATTTGCTTAACAACCGTCATAAAAAGTGGTTGTAAAATTGAGTCTGGTTGAATGGTGACTCTACTTACAACTGCAACAACTTACGAATTCCAGGCTCATTTGTGAGAATAAGTCAAGGATTACCTGTATAAATGCAGCAGTTATTACTTTGCTGCCAAAAAAGGAATGAACTAGTAATAGTGGAAATAGAAACATGTAGACTTTCAAGTTATGCAGATGATTTCTGTATAATTTAAAATTTATATATTTCCATCTAGTCTGGTTAGGTCAATATTTGAAATTCCTTTTTTTACCTGTTTTATCTTTGCAGTATTGGAATAGTATTTTTTAGCCATTTCTAGCAAAAGAACAATAACCAAAATTGTTACTGATATAGACTAACAATGTTAGCATGATATTAGGTAATCCTTGACTTACAAACATTCATTTACTGACCATTCAAAGTTAACAGTGGTTCTGAAAAAGTGACTTACGATCATTTTTCACACTTACATCCATTGCAGCATCCCCATGGTCATGTCATTAAAATTTGGGTATTTGGCAACTGGCATGTATGTATGACAGTTGCGGTGTCCTGAGGTCATCTTATCACCTTTTGTGATCTTCTGACAAGCAGTCAATGGGGGAAGCCAGATTTACTTGACTGTAACTGAAACTGAATATTTCACTTAATAGCTATGGCAAGAAAAGTCGTAAAATGGGGCAAAACTCACTTTACTGCTTAGCATTGGAAATTTTGGGCTCAGTTGTGATTGTAAGTCAGTGACTAATTGCATTATGGAAGGATTGAGAATTGAATGAAACCCTTTCTGGTATACTCTATTACATGCAAAAGTTTCAGTGTAGCTCAGGGAATTAACAAAGTAAACAAAAATTCTTATTTAAAATTCTGTTTCAATTAAATTGATTTTTTTAAATTTTAAATTGTCTTTTTTAAATTATTAATATCGTGGCATGTTTCTCATTCTAAATATAGATGTATTAAGACATAGATATTTCAAGTTTACATAGAGTTCCTTTGCCAGTCAGAGAGGTATTCATTTTAGATTTCCAGTCATAAATTTGAAAAATGGAGAACCACTTTCACAATAAATAATTACTAGGGTTGTTGAAAAATGTTTCTATTAAATTTGTAGAAATATAAGGTAACCACTTAATTAAAACAATTCCCTTAATTGTGAAATTTTTACAATTTTATGTCTAATGACATAAAATGCCTTCACCATTTAACACTAATTAAAAATAAAACAGCAACAAAAATTTTGGTCACTAAGGCAATTATACCACCTTTCTTGCCACAGTTCTTAAGTGAATAACTACAGCTGGTATTTTGTATNCAAATCAAAAGAATAACTAAAGCCTACATATTGGATTTTAATTTTTTAATTTATAGGGGGATAACATAAACAATGTTTGCGGTTTTCCAGAATATGGATTAGTAAATAGTAAAGTAGTGCTCTTACTAAACTCTTGTGGGCTAACGTCTACATGGGTTACATTTCCCAATAGGCAGGAAATGGCATCTTTCATAATCCAAGGCTCAATAAACCAAAATACTAATTACTATAGTGTTTATGGTTGCAGTACTTCCTCCATTTGTTTCTCTATAGCCCAAAATGGGTTTTTTTTTCTTCTCTACTCTTAGATTTTATTTCCTCTTTGGGCTTATATGATAATTTGTTTGTCTTTTTAGCACATTTTATTATTGCAGTCTCAACAGATGGTAGCATCTTACTACTTTTGTCTCTGCTCAGAGGCTAACTAGGGTTAGGATTGGCCAGTACCTGGATAGGAGACCACTAGGAAAAACTAAAGCAGGCTACACTGGGAACCTGAAAACAACATGCCAGAAAGCAATGAAAGATCACGTCTATATAGATGCCAAAGTCACTATGAATATGTCCAAAAGGTCACAAGGAATCAAGCTGAAAAAGGACATTTTTTAAAATCCAAAATTATTGATTTCAAGTAATATAAATTACATCCATGTGTATAAATTTATTACAGCAGAATGAAGGCTTCTCTTGAATTGCACAATTTTGTGTAAAAAAAAAAGTACTTAATTCACCATAGGGAAAGCCTTAACGAAGCTTAACGAAGAGTAACAAATTCTTCTGAAGAAGTTGGATGAATAGCCACCGTCTGATCAAAGTCAGCTTTTGTTGCTCCCATTTTGACAGCTACTGCAAAACCTTGGAGCATTTCATCACACCCCAAACCTTGCATATGAAGTCCTACCACCTTAAAACAAAACAGTCATAAACAAGTTAAGAACATGGCTTCAAAATGACATTTTTTTTCAGACTTCACAGTTGCTCCTACCTTTCTACACTAGGAGCAATATCTTGTATGCCTACAATTTTTTGTGTTGCTTTGTTATTGACTAATTTTATATAAAATCTTAATACATCATGCCTGGAAGAGTATTAAATGGCACAACTCGTAATTGCTTCAGACATGGAGTAAATATTGGTTTGATGTGACTTAGGTTTAATAAGTTGTGTGAGCCTAGCTAATTACAGGTTATTTGAGAAGCAAACATTGAGTGTGATGTTTCAACTCAGTTTACATGTTAAGTAACATTGTTATCTTGTCCTGTCTCATTTCCTTACCTTGAATAGAATATACATGAAAAGCAATTTTAACATGCAGCATCTTCACTCTTTTCTACTTTACTTACTTTTTCTTGTTTAGTGGCACAGACCAATTTCATCACACATTTTGTTTTCCTTTCTGTTATTGCATGGTACATGGGGACAAAAGAAGTTATATAAATTTTCACATTCTCTTTTCCATATGCATTCACGGCTTCCGCTGGAATGAAATCAAATGACATTAGATATATTTGAATACAGAGGAGAAAAAAAGCAAAGAATCTCATGCAATTGGCTTTCTGACATTTCAAAAGAACTAAATATTGACATGTTATAGGTGAGCTGGTCTCCTTCACATGTGGCTCAATCAAGCACCTCAGTGTGTTCTAATTATGAAAAGACTTGTCCAAAAGCATTTGAAGATCAGAAGTTTATCAATTGAGGGTCTATTACATGTGTCACATCTTAGAATTTGATGTGCAGTTTATAAAAAAAAAACAAGCTTGATATCAGTTTGTAACTTCAGCTTCAGAAATCCTATGAATAGAGGTGCTTTAATCATACTTCACATTAATTTTTTAAAAATGTTTAAACAAAATAATATGATGGGTAACAGTATTCTGAACTTGAGAATTTCTAATATAAAGTGAAACAACAGGAGTGTTTGATCATTCCCAATTTCGCTTTTTTTTCTTTTGTTCGGTTGTGCCCAATTCTCAGAAGCTACCTGTACAAGTTTTCTTTGCAAGGTTTTTCAGAACTGGCTTGTCATTTCTCTTCCCTCATTCCTAGGGCTGAGAGAAAGTGACTTGTTCAAGGTCACCCATCTGGTTTTGTGCCTAAGGCAGGATTAGAACTCAGTCTCCCAATGTCTAAACAAATGCCTTAACCGTTACACCAAACTGGCTCTATCCATAATGTATATTACTGTATCAGAGGTAGGACTAGGAGCAACCTGTGCATCTACAGCATCATTAATATAAAGAAACATAAGTAGAATTTCCATCAACATCCTTTTACTATAAAAATTCAGAGCATACACATCTTTACCAAGCCACTCTTGTAGAGAATGTCTCAAAATAAATTGGAAAACCTACTACTCTCCATATATCATTCAACACAATTCTAATCAGTCACAAAATCCATAGATAATATGGATATCTTGTTTTAGTAGAAATTCTATTTCACGCATATTTCTCTCTGTTATTTGTTTCCCAATAAATAAGAAATAAGAGCCTACCTTCTGTTAGTCCCACTGTTCCAATAGGTGGGTGACTGAAAACCACAGTTGGAATGTTGGTATAGTCCAATTTAAAATCCTTTTTATTTTCAAAAAGCCTATGTGCCAGTTTTCTTCCAGCCGCAATTGCAACTGAAAATGCAATATTTATTGTGTCATCATCATTTATTCGATATTTTTATTACAGAGTATTAATAGGTGGTCAATCTATCCTTCCCAATGTCTTCACAGCCCTTCCTCACCCATTTTGCTTTGTTCCATTTTAGAATCCCAAATGAATTTATTTAATATAGTCCTTAAAATATTGTTACCTGGTGTAAGGAGTGCTTTCCCACATACATCTCCAACAGCATAGATTCCCTTTTTGCTGGTATTTTGGAACTCATCAACAGTAATATGGCCTGCTTTGTCTACCTTAATATTCTGATAGTAGGAAAAAAAAATTAAAGTCAAAGCTGGTATCCTAAGAAATACTATCTCAGACAAAGTTTGAACAGTATGGTATCAACTTTTTTAGTGTCCATAAAGGGAAAAAAAGGAAATTATTTCAAAGAATAAACAAGCAATCAGCCCATCAAGAGCTTTGGGGGGGGGGGGATATTTCCCTAACAATTTTTCAAGCAAACTAATGTAAGCAATATGAACAAACATTTAGGTTAGGATAAAATTATTATGGGGCATAGCATGGGAAGCCGAGCCATGGACTATGGACTGTCTTTGCCCTCCCACAATGTTTTAGTATGCCACCCAGAGTTAACCTAATTTGTTACATTTGTTCTCTAGTAGGAAAAAATACATACTCGCAAGTAGCAGCAAAGTAAGAAAACATTCCATTGTCACTCATGGCTACTCTCCAGTTGACCCTAACCACCACGTTATGCCAATTGTAGTATAATCTGGATTGTGTATGTCATGCATTTAATATTCCCTACAAAATTCCCACCTACCAATTGGTCAAGGTTTAGATCCTCAGTATTGGGCTCTCTACCAATGGCCCACAAGAGACAATCAACATTCTCAATGGTGTTCACAGTGGGTTTTTGATTAGGAAAATAGGATGTAACCGCTATTGCCAAGAGCCCTGAAGCTGATTTTGTAACTGATTGAATCTGTTGAGAAACAAGATTATTGAAAAATGCTAGAGCAAAATCACACAACAAATTGTTTATTTTAAGGCTAAAGTTTTCTTCTTCAAAAATACCCTCCTTACTAAATGTCTATGTCTTGTGAAGTTATATATACCTTATGGCTAGAATTAGATAGTTCTTGACATACAATCACAATTGGGACCAGAATTTCTTTTACTAAGCAAGGTGTTAAGTGAGCCATTCCTAATTTTATGACCTTTATGCCATAATTGTTAAGCAAATCACTGCAATTGTTAAGTGAAACACACCATCATTAAGCAAATCCAGCTTTTCCCATTGATTTTACTTATTGGAAGCTGGCTGGGAAGATCACATGACCCTGGGATGCTGCAACGGTCTTAAGTATGAAAACTGGTTGTAAGTCACTTCTTTCACGTCATCATAACTTCAAACAGTCACTAAATTTACTGTATGCAGTTTTGTTGAGACACCTCACTTCCATGTGAAGAAAAAGAGCAAAGGTAAATACAATGGCTCTGAAGTTTCCAAATGCCAGAAGGGACACGAATGTTTACTGACACCTTATCAGAGGATAAGGCTCAAATATCTGGCATTGCTCTCATGAAAAATTACAATTACAGAGTGATAAACCATCACTATGGGTGATGTGCAAAACTTGCCCAGTTGCTAGTTTCATTATCTAATTTCTCTTTTAAAATACTTTAAGTATGCTCAAATTTGCATAAACTAAATGATAAGTCTATTTGGCAGGATTGTTTTTTAAAATGCTTCTGCAATGTCCAGGGTTGTTTAAATCTGATTCTCAAATGAAATAATGTTGACTGGTTTGTATTTTAAATTGGAAGACTGTTTTTGATACAAAGTTTATGGGCCCGAAATGGACTTTTATTATGTTATTGTTATATATCAATCAATTAAATCTCTTATAGTTTTTAATCAGTCTAAAATAAGAAGTAAACAAAATTCTGACATAAAATCCTATTGGTAACATCCAGATAAAACTTGGGGCCTAAATAGTTTGTCACTGCCTCAATTCTTAAAAAGCAATTTGACAATGAGCAATGCAGGTTATTAATATGTAATCCTGGTTACAAGGAAAATTCCTTAAATGTAATGATAAAAGTGTAATAATGCAATACTCCTTTCAATCTGTTCAGGAATGCTGCAAAAACTATCAATACAATAGCTGCTGTTCATTTATGAGAAAGAAAAGCCATATGCCCAATGATGATTTGTTTTTTCTTTCTCTCAAATGGCAGCATTTGCATCATTTATACACATGCTCAAAAAATTAAAACTAAGCAGAGACTCAAACTCATATTGTTTTGAAGTTGTTAAAGCAATAGAACATCATCTTCCAATTACAGTTGGAATGATTTAGCTGCAACTGAAGAAAAATTATGCATACAGATAGTCCTTGAATTACAACCATTCATTCAACGATCGTTCAAAATTACACTAAAAGTGCTGAAAAAATGGTAGTTCCACACAATCCTTGTAATTACAGCCATTGCAGTGTTCCCATAGTCAAGAAATCAAAATTTGGCACTTGGAAATTCACCAACACTTATTGACTGCAGGGGCAGTTCAACTGACCCTATCTGCCCCCTCTCCCTTTTCTGCCCTTTTAGCTACCCTATGCTCTGCTGCCCATGCCAGCCCACTGGCTGTACCAGCCAGCTAGCTTACCACTCCTGTTGCTCTACACTTCCAGCCCTGCCGCCCAGTCTTGATTCAATTATCTCCCTACATCCGCTTATGAGGTGCACCTGGCTTGGCCTCCATGAGCAGCAGTTGGCCACGCCTACCGCTTGTCCAAATTACCTGAAACTTTGTCATAACATTTGGAAGGCCCAGCTGTGCTGGCATGAAAGCATTCAAACTCATACATAATTTGGTCAAAAGTGGATGTGGCTTTGGAAAGAAGGCTGGGGCAGCCAGCAGTTATCTTCTGAAAGGCCAGGCTGTGTGCATCTCATCAGCGGTTACAGGAAGAAGATGGTAAATATCAGTTGGGCATGGCAAGTCTGGGAGGGACAGTGAGCACAAGCTGGCAGAAGTGACAGAGTGCAAAATGGCAAAGAAGAGGGAGGGAGATAGATGGGTGGAAGGAGTTGAAAAGGAATCAGTCCCTTAGCTTGCCAAGACATAAGACTGGGAGGGACTAAGCCAGGATCAATCCTTGGTTAAGAACTGATTCAGTTAATGAGCAATTCGGATTGCCTGGGTTGCTGTCCCTAACCAATGCGCTCACATGACATGCTTTACAACTGCATTGCTTAGCAATGGCAATTCCAGTACCAGTTGCCATTGTAACTCAAAACCTACCTGTACATGAAAATTCAAAATTAATAATTACAATCCAGCACTAAAGAGATATTACCTTGCAATGTTTCCAGACTTCTACTCCATTACGTTCCAATTCCTGAGTACAATTTGAACTGATCATAGAATCAAAATTTCTCAGCACCTGTACAAAAAATTACTTTATCAGACTGCAAATAAATGTCTTTACATTTAATTATGGCAACTTCCTTTTCCATTGATTAATATCACAGAACATTTAAGTCATACCCTCATGAGTCTGAACTCAAAAATGCAAATTTCTCTCAAATTTATCCAATTTCAAAATTAAATTGACATTTACCATAGGGCTATTGCCAAAGTTATTGAGAATTAAATCTACTGTATTTACTACATGTCACATTCAAATGTCATAATAAATTCTTCTTATATCTATATTCTGTTCTAGTTACTACACTATACTAGATCTTACAATCAGAAATATGCCTTAGACTTCAATCAAAAGGAATAATAATGTGAAAAGGAAGAGATGGAGAATTGAAAATGTCTGTTGGAATAAACAGTAAACATACAGATACACATAATTGGAGAAGAATATTAACAAGTGGTTCTGAGTTTCCAAGAGAAAATAATGCATCTTGATTTTAAAAGGTTTAATTCTAATTATAATCAAGAAGTTAAAAAAATAATGAGTAGGTTTTAAAGATTTTTATCAGATTATAAATACTTAAAAAATAAAAGCAAACATTTTAAGGATCTGAATATGGTAAAAACAAAGAAAGTTTGTGCAAGTGGTAATGATCCATTTCTGGTGTAAATACAGACAGAGACAAATTGATTTTGCCTTTGTGCAAGGTTGTATTTTGCATGTAGATGTTAGTTCCAATAAGAACTCGTAGTACTTTCAATTGTCACTTAGGAAGGTGAACAGCAAGTGCCCCTTACCTCATTATAACGTATCAATAAGGATGTCTTGGAGCCTAATGCAGAAAGAATACCAGCTAATTCAACAGCTATATATCCAGCACCAACAATAACACTTCGCCTAAGAGAAAGAAAATGGATTATGTCATAGCACTCAGGTACATGCCCTTCCACAAATTTTCTCATTGAAATATATTGTATATTGGCCACACCAGGAAGTTCAAACTTCTACATATGTTATTGGATTCAAACCCCATCATTTTTTACCACTTACCATGCTGAATAGGCTTAATGAAAGCAATAAATTCAATAATACTTGTGATGATTTTATTGCTTTCAATAATTCTTTTACTGATTCAATTATTATGAATGTTTGTGTTTTGAATGGTGTCCCCCTCCCCCCACAAATTTTGGGTTGCAATGGTATAAAAGTCTAACAAATACCTAAAGGGCTATAGCTCTTTCTATCCAATTTATAATCTAAGCAATTAGATTTTGTATAGCAGGGTCTTGACTTCTCTCTCATTAAATCAGAAAGGATAAATGGTAATGGTTAAATCAACACTGGATAATTAGCAAGAAGGGAAGGTTTGTATTTACATTTGTTGGAAAGGAAGGAATCAGGCACACAATAAGGAATATACATCGAAAGCAATACAGTGCTGCCAGCACACAGCACAGGGTATATTCCCAATTATCTGCCTACTTATTCTTTTGTAATCCCTTCCAATCTTTCTGTTTGATGAGGAGAGTTGAGTCAGGCAGAGGAGAAATTGTCTAAAGAGATTGCTCATTTAGACAATCCAGTCTGGGGGAGGGGGGAATGGATCACCACAGGACAACACTTATTGACTACTACTGAATGCATGCTTGAGAGAGAGAAATGCTGCGAAGGTCGTAAATACATGCCTTGTAAGTTATTTTCTTTCAGCACATCTTAACTTCAAACAGTCGCTGCACGAAGAATTTGGTAAGAAAGGTTTATCTATGCACCCACATATTACATTTAAAGGTAGGTAAAAGGATCTTGACTGGCATTCAGTCTCCTCTTCCACTTTGAGGGATGGGTGGGGAGCCCCACCACCACTACCATGCCTTCTCCCTTACAAATCCAGGCTTTTAATAAAAGTTGCCTGCTTTTTCTCAGCCCTAAAGAACCAGCCCTCCATAGTTAAGCTAATGGCATACACAGGATGAGTTTTTCAACTATCAGCAACAAAAATGAAAGGAATGTAAGGACATGAAGGGCATGACCTGCAAGTTAATTGTGACCAAGTAAGAATGGTAGAAAAGCCACAGTGCTTTATTTCATTTCCTGCTTTCTACTAAACAGCCTTCTGATCACCAAAATAGGCAAAAATGAGAGAGAGAAATGGGATTTTTTTAAAGCACTGCATCCCCCTCCAATTCCTTTCTTGAAGCCAATATCTTCAATAGAAGCTTATTTTGTTTGTTGATAGGAACATTGACCATGAAGTTGACATTCCCACAAGTGAACAACAAAAGCGAACTAGCTGCACTGATGTTCAATATCTATGGCACAACTGTTAACGGAGGCCCAGAGTCCTGTAGCCAGATGCTGAGCAATGGGGTAATCCTTTAATGGGGGGATGTTTTTCTTGTTGGTTTTATATCCTGGATTTCCTTCAAGAGTTCAGTTTGGTGTGCACAGTGCTCCATCTCTCTATATTTCCCCACGTTTTCCACTAATTTCCCCATAGCAAACAGCACTTTGTTTTTGCCTTCATCCTATTTCAGTAGTGGGCTAAAAATGAACTAGAGAAGATGTTTCCCCTGCAACAGATAACACCTAGAAGAATGCATGATGAGTCCCATATCTGGGCTGATAAGAGGTCATACAAGACCGTTCATCAAATCTGAAATGTAGGACAATTACTGTAGTCTTGTACCAATGCCAACTTGCTGTCTACATCTTTTAGTGGGGAATGAAACATTGCAGTATAATAATCCCTACCTGTTTTAAAAAATAATCTTCACTGCAATGCAGCAAATTGAGAATATTTAAAATGCTCAGAATTCATTGCAACTTACTTGGGCAACTCTTCAAGTTCAAAGAAGCCATCACTAGAGATTCCCAAATTTGCTCCTGCAAAGCCACAAGACATTATCTTCAATATTCATTATCTTAAGCTTTATGTATAAATAGATGTAACTTGCACAAACATTCACTTTGAAAGGTTATTTAATTATTTTTTAGAATATATTATTAAAAAAATTGAATGAAATATTACACTGCAACTATGTACTGTACTACTGAATCTAACACTAAGGAAAATATTTTAATGACAACTCAGCTGCATGCTCTTTCTTAAATATAGGGCAAACAGCATCACAGAATCCATACCTGGTATTTCACTTTCACTGGGAATTACAGGCCGTCCACCAGTAGCGATCAGTATATGAGGTGCCCTATATTTTTTGCCATCAACTTCAATTGTAGGTTCAGGGTCAGCTGTGAATGTTGCATGCCCACGAATGGTTTCCACGTGGTCCTAGCAAAATCAGTTGTTGATTTAAAAATTAAGTCAATTTATATACTAGAGAAGGACATCTTATAATAAAGTGTAATGTGGGCCAGTGTAATGTGGGCCAGTGTATGACGCATTGAGATTTTTGGACAATTCAAAATAAATTTGTAGATAAATTCAAAAATAGAAGAATGGAATAAGATGCATTATCTTACTTTAAATTAATCTCTCATATTTTCTTGACCAGAACAAATCTCTCTATTGTGTAATCTTACACTTTTCAGAAACAAACTATATAATTCACAGGATGGTCTATCAAGACCATGAAAATTATAGATTTGAAATGTAGGCTAGCTACAATGAATTAAAATATGCCCTGTAAGTGATCTGGAGAAGATTCTTTTTCTCAAGAGAGAAGGGTAATAATTTTCTTTTTTCTTTAAGTGTACTATACTTATTTTACATTTACACTACAATTTTCATGTCTTTTCCATCTTTAAACAACAGGAAAGTAAAATTTGTGCAGAGGAAGAGTTTAGGCAAAACAAGTTTTACACAAGTAATTTGCTCTGAATCTTTTTTTAAAAAAATCTATACACCTTGATGCAAATTAAAAAAATAATTTGTTTTCAGCTTGTGAATTTCACAGGGTTTATAACAGAAATTAGGAATTTAAAATTTGCTGCAGTGAAAAATAAGGTCATTTACAAACCTTATTCAAATTATTTTGATAGATCTCATTCAGTTTCTTCACATAAGCATCACGCTTTTCTTTAATTATTCTACAGTAAAAAGAGTTTTATTAGTATTATATCCTACTTTACCCCAAGAAGCACATAAAGTCCCTCTTTCAACATACCCCACAAAAACAAATCTTTTGGGTAGGTTGGGTGGAGAGACAGACCAACCCAAGTACCCAATGGATTTCCACAGCTAAGCATTAGGTTGGGTTTGCAAAGCCTTACTCAAATTGTTATTCCTCATGGGCTTTCTAGATTTATATCTCAAATATCTCTCTCTCTATAAACAGGATTAACACACAAAATTGTTTGCTCCAAATCTACATAGGTACCTTTTTCCTAAGTAATAAATATAGATATTATGGAGAAAATTATAGTCCTGTTTCACAATTTAAAATGTCTTTCTTGAAGAAAAGATGTTTATACTATCCTATAGCATATTATACATCACAGAAAATAACATTTGTTTGCTCTATCTAAAATAGCATTTTAAACACTGCAAATGGTGTATCACAGGGACCACTACTGTCAGCGCAAACCCTAATATGTGAACAATTTATAGCTGTTTTGATTTTTTACATGAGTCCCAGTCCAATCATGATTTCTTAAAAGAATGTAAGAATAAAGCTCACAAATATCTCAAAAATCAAAGTGAGATTATTTAGAATTTAAAAATGCTGCTATATTAAACTGCATAGCTTTAAATTATGAATTGCAGTACAAAACTACCAGTTTTAGTCCATAACAGAGATTCTTCAGACTTGATAGAATATTGGAATCTCATAGATAAAAATCTGGAAATGTGTGTCTGAAAAGCCTCCTGGAAGTCATTTTAACTTGACACTGTAGTTTTCACTGTAAGTTTCAAATTAAAAACAATTCTATCCATTTATTTTACTTCAGAGGTATTCCAGAATTTAGCTCAACTCACTTCCAATTAAACTTCACATCAGCTGTTTTAAAACCATAATCCATATGATCATGGATGAATTCAGAATGGACAGCAGTGTTCCACATCACCTGTTACGAAAGAGGATATCCAGAGTTTAATATAATTAATATAAAAATGAATGAGCAAATTCAATTGATTATTCTTGTATACAGCATAAATCAATATTTTATTTATTTATTTATTCATTTATTTATATTTCTACATTTCTCATCTCATCAAAATGACTCTGAAGCAAGAGAAAACAAAATGTGAAATTCCTACTCTAAGACATGGGACTGGAGAAGATCAGGACACATAGCTCATCATTGTCATGATACATGTAATCCAGTAGATACACTACATATTGTGGCCTTGAAGAAACAAGCTACTTGTTTCATAATCATTGGCAGATGGCAAAAGAGTCATATTTTTTCAATGCCATGTGTGGCTAATGCACTGTGTTCAGTTGTGCCTAATGGAACACACATGGGCCTGGCCAACCAATTTATCAGTTCCCCTGCATTTTGGGGGAAGAGGAAGAGGGAATATGCGATACCTTCTTTTAAGTTCTGTCCAACAAAAGGAACTTGAAAATAGTCAACTTCTTTCAAGAAATACCATCAAGCTCATGACACCATCTATTCTGACCAATGTAAATCTTGACTATAGAACACAGAACATAAAATCATAGGGCTGGAAGGGACCTCAGAGGTGGTCTAGTCCAATTGTTGCTCAAGGCAGAAGATTCTATATCAGTGATGGTGAACCTTTTAGGCACCGAGTTCCCAAACTGGGATGCATGTGCGCATGCTGGAGCACCGGAAAACCAAATACCATCTGGCCAGTGGGTGCATGTCTGTTTTTAGGCCATTTTTGGGGCCGTTTTCAGGTCATTTGGGGGGATGTTTTGGGGAACGTTTTCAGGCCAAAACAGCCTGAAAATGCCCGGGAAAATGGCCCAAAACAGCCGGAAAATGGCCTGTAAAACAGCCTAAAAATGGCCCGAAAATGGCCTGGAAATGGCTTGTAAAACAGCCTGGTTTTTTGCTTTTCTCAAGCTGTTTTCTGGTACTCCAGAGCAGCTGGGAATGGTGCATGTGCCCAGAGAGAGAGCTCTGTGTGCCACCTCTGGCACACGTACCATAGATTATCCATCACGGTTCTATATCACCCCAGTCAAGTGGTTGTTCAGTCTATTTTTAAAAACCTCCAGTGATGGAGCACCCATTACTCTGGAAGGCAAACTTCGTCTACTAACCTTCCCTACTTCTGGTCTGTAAGATCGATATCTTGTTTATATTGGTAAATACAGTTTGGGGACATTTTTTAAAATTTAAAAATTGTATGTTTAAGCAGCCAAAAGAATGAAAGGCATCATCCAGCACTGGACACAGGATAACAGGAGTTCCAAAAGGACAGAATAGACAATCCCCATGTATCAACTTTGTTGCAGCTGTTTCAAATCTGTGAAGGTCAAATAGGTGATGAGGGAATCAGATCAGGTTTTTTTTTTCAACTGATACCACTTTTAAATTGGTAAAATCATTGAGGTTCTTTTAAATCTTATATTTTGTCATTTCAGTACAATTACATACAATTTGGATTGTGTTAGACTTCCATATAAAAATGGAGATTTAATGAATTAAATTTTCTTTTCAAATTTAATGTTCCATGCACCTGCTCCTCAAAACCAGGACTAAATTCAAAAAGCCATAAAAACAGTTGTGGTATTGAAAAAAAGGCAGCAGAAGTTATTTTTCATGACAAGAAGTACATCCATGTCTTCCTTGAATCTTGAGAGAAAAAGTTATGAGGAATTCTTTGTGACTTGGCATTTTTTGTTAGGTATCTTGGTAAAGCAGAGTAAAAGAGCAACACTGTTCTTCAGATGTCTTATAGTACAAACAACAGAATAACAGAGTTGGAAGGGATCTTTGAGATCTTCTAGTCCTACGCGCTGCTCAAGCAGCAGACCCTGGCCTATACCATATCAGACAAATGGCTGTCCAGTCACTTCATAAAAGGCTGGAGCAACCACAACTTCTGAAGACAAGCTCTTTCACTGGTTCTCACTGTTAGGAAATTTATCCTCAATTCTAGATTGCTTCTCTCCTTATTTAGTAGTTTCCTTCCATTGTTTCTTGTCTTGCCTTCTGGTGCTTTGGAAAGTAGATTGACCTCCTCTTCTTTGTGGCAGCCCCTCATTTATTGGGACACCATCATGTCACCCCTAGTCCTTCTTTTCACTAGATTAGACAAACCCAATTCCTGCAACTGTTGTTCATGTGTTTTAGTCTCCCTCTCTCTAATCAACTTTGTTGGTCTTTTCTGCACTTTCCAGAGTCTCAACATCTTTTTTGATAATATGGTGATCAAAACTGCATGCAATATTAAAAGTGTGGCTTTACTAAGGCTTTATAAAGCAGTACTAATATTTCACCTAATCTTGATTCTATCCCTATATGTTAATGCAGCCTTGGGTTGTTATCTTGCTTTCCAAACAACATGGCAAACGACTGCCAAAGTACTATTTTGCATTCCAAATCAAGGATGGACATACCCAATTATTAAAAAGCAGATTTTAGCAGAGTTTGAGGACTAGTATCCACTCTCATGTTTTTATTCGTTTTTATTAAACACCTTTCTATGGCATCATAATCAAAACAATTCTGGTGCTCACTGCCCAATTTTAAAACAGTCTTAGAATGTCAGGGAGAAAATAAAAGATGGCAACATCAATTCAGGGAAAAGTTCTCTGAAACAGCTAGATCTTCAAGCACTTTCAAAATGTCAGCAAAAAAATTCAATTTTTTTTTTTGAAATATTAGCAAATTGATAGCATAAATTCATTTACCTTTTTAGGTACACACCCAACATTCACCTAAAAGGAAAAAAAACATTTACTGCAAACATCATGAATCAGTAATTTTAATATAAATAAGAACGGTGTTTAGAAAGTATGCACTGAAATGTTACTAATTTACAAATAATTTTACTTTTTTAATAACAGCAAAATGTGCATCATCTTGATAAATAATATAGTATACTTAAGGTATTTTTCAAGAGGGGTTTGCATTAAAGTGTTATACACTGAAATCCCCCTTAATGCCCAATATTAGGGATGAGGAAACATTTTATTTTCACTGCAACAAACTCCACAGGAATAAATTGGGTGAACCTGAGAATGGGCAATCTAAGAAACTACTTGCATCCTACATTTCATTATCCTGAGCATTAGTTCTTAATCATATTTGAAGCTCATTTCATTATTTAGTTAGGTAGATATAGGGTTGCTCAGTATCTAGTTAGGGTCTACATGAATACATGTCTTTCTAAATACCTATGAATAGTTTATATCTGATTAAAGTTTGCATGAAAAAGCACCTTTTTTCAGGCAATCTGAATAATTTTCCCGCCCTTTGGTTTCTTCTTGAAGAGAATCCTTGATAGTTCTCAAAGCAAGCCATTTTATAACCCAAATCAACACATTCAATAGACATTTTTACTGACTCCACTGAATGCCTAAATTAAGGGCATTCAAAATTTGCTTTTCATGGATGTTTCATTCTAGTAAATTCTTTTCCACACTGGACTCCTCCAGATGTTGCAATCAGTTCTTGATTGATTACGTGCTTGCAAGTTGACACAGGCTATTGGCTGCCACATAGATCTTCTCCACCCTCAGCTCTCTCCAATCTGCTCCTTCAGATCTTCCAACAGTACATCTAACTCCATCCACCTTGTTGCTAATCATCCTTTTCTTTCTTTCCACTGTTTGCAACATTATGTAATTTCAATATCTTTCAGAATTCCCAGCAAACACAACCAAAGAATGGGAGCTTGAGAAACTACAGCCTCACAACTTTTGAAGGGTATTAAACTGGGGAAGGCTGCTCTATTTAATGACATAAAACAGTTTAGAGTTAAGTTCTTTGAATATACATTCTAAACTTTACTCCTTATTTAGCCCCTTTCTCTGGAATTTTATTCACTCATATTTTCTATCCTTGCATCATTACCAAATCATCAGTTTTAATATTGCCAACCCATTCTCTCCACAACTAATTTGACATTTTTCTTCAACAAACTGTAACCTACACCAATAAGCACCAAGCCACATCTTTAATGTTTGGACTTTTAAACTTTTTAAATTAATTTCTTCAGGGCACATTTCCTGCTTTGTATATAGCATGATGGAAGACTAACAACTAATTATCTCATAAATTAGAGGAAGCTATAATTCCAACTGGGAAGAAGTGAAGTTTAACACTTGGGAACATTCTGTAATCTGATACTGAACAGTTTGTTACCATCAGAAAAGGACCCATGGATACACTCCTTTTAAAGGCATCCCATAGACATGGAAGAAATAAATAAGAAATGTATAATTAAAAAAGTATCCCCACTTCCTGCTTGAGATATAGAAGGGTAAAGCCAGGAAAGACAAGTAGAAGGGGAAAACACAGCAAAGAGCAAAGCACTTCCTGAAATTTTAGTGAAAACTGAATTGGCACAAAACTGATGGGTTCTACTGAGCCGCATTCCACTTGCCTTATCTTGAGAGTAAAAATAAATTTTTAAAAAGTATATTACATGCAAGAGGAACTGATATATCACAAGGCACAAAGTTGCAACAACACAATCCTAAGGGGGGGGGGGGGAATAACAACGAAACCACAGCTGTTGTATTCACATAACAGGCTGAAAGGAAGACGGGGTTTCCCCCAGCCACCTGAAATCGCAGCCCTATTTAGACTTAGAATAACTTTATTGTCACTTTGAACCAGGGGTGAAATCCAGCAGGTTCTGGAGAATGGGTAGCGGAAATTTTGAGTAGCTCGGAGAACCGGCAAATACCACCGCTGGCTGGCCCCAGAGTGAGGAGGGAATGGAGATTTTGCAGTATCCTTCCCCTGCAACGCCCACCAAGCCACGCCTACAGAACCGGTAGTAAAAAATTTGAATTTCACCACTGCTTTGAACGCACGGCAATCGGCCTATATTAAAATGAAATTTCGTGGCATACAGCTCTCAAAGGGTCATCACCACCACCTCCAATTTTCGCCCAGCGTGCTAAGCGAAGCCAGAATCTCAAAAGCAGTTTCACGAAAACCAAATAAAGCACTTCTTAACTGTTTCTGCCCTGCCCACCCACCGTGTGTTGAGTGAAGGGGGAAGAAAACTTCCACGCCTTCGAGCTCTTGCGGAACTCACTGCCTTGGCATAAGCCCAGTCGGGTCTGCCTACCCACCAGGTATGCAGGCGAGTCTCCTAGGAGTATATTTGCAGCTATTCCCCACCCTCCTTCCTCTCCCCCACCCCGCTGTCGACTCACGCAAGTGCCTCCAAGTCGCCCTTTTTCAATCACAGCAGCCCGGGCTCCCAGTTGCGCGGCGCGTCGGGCACTGGCCAATCCGCCCGAGCCGCCCCCCAGCACCAGGTAGTCAAAGGTGGTGACCGGCGAAGAAGAAGAAGAAGAGGCACGGAGTTGGGCCATGGCGGCGACAGCGGCGCGACGAGGAGGACGGAAGGGAACTGTGCAGAAAGCAAAACGCGGCCGAGGTAGCCGCATCCCGCCTCTTCCCTCCTCGGGGGTCGAAAGGGTTAATTTTCCTGCTCTCGGGCGGGGTCCTGTCTTACGCTACCTCGAGACGGGCAGAAGTCTTCCAGCCTCTCGGATTGGCTGTGACGTCCGTCAATCCCTAGCGGAGGCGCAAGAGGAAACAAATTCCGTCTCCGAAGGAGGCGCGCGAGAGGGAGGCGGCTGGAGGCGCCCTCACTTTTCTTGCTGCGGGCCTCGCTTTCGGCAGCGTTTTCGTGCTGATGCGTTCGAGGTTTCTGCTTGCGACTTGCTTGGACGGGTGTAAGCATAAGCGCAAAGCCACCTTCTAACCAGAAACGGTGGCTTGGGGTTCTCTTCCTAGTATAGACAGATATTGAACTGCATAGAAGGAGCGCAGTCACCTGCTACCAGGGGGGCAGGGGACTGATCAAAAGGAGACGCCGAACGCAGAGAATCGCGCAGCGGGCAGAGGCTCAGTGGGGATACAACGTAGGCAATCCTGGTTTAGGCGCACGTATTGTGCAAACGGAGAAAGTGGAGACAAATAACCGCCTGGGTCGGGCAAACACAGCATAAGTAGTCCCAAAGGTGCTTTTCTCCAGAGGCAATTGCACTTTCTGGTTTGTTTTTTTTTTGAAGACGTTTTGCTTCTCATCCAAAAAGCTTCTTCAGCTCTTTTCTTGAATGAAAAGCAAAGCGCCTTCAAAGAAAAAAACAGAAAGTCCAGTCCAGTTGCCTCTGGAAAAAAGCACCTTTGGGACACAACCGTGACCTGGATGACTGAGCATCTCCATAGACACAGCATAAGTAGTTCTTTTGCATATTGTAGTAACTTTGATCTTAGCTGAAAGGCAGGAAACCGTATTTTTTATTTATTTTTCAGCTTCATCTGGACAGTCTTTGCTGATGACCTTCTCGATTTTACTCTGGGTTATTACATACTCCAATTTCCCCAATTAGTAAGAGGATTTAAGTTGGATAAAGCTTTTGGGGGTTTCTTTGATATTTATTTACAAAAAACGGCACAGATGAAGGCATGTACAATAAACAGTCCAGTGAACATCAAGGAGGCTCAGGTTAAAGTATGTTCTTTCCCTTCACTCCCAAAATGGGACTTCATTTCCTTCTACTTAAACCTTTTTGGATTAAGTTTGTTTTGTTTTAAATCACACAGGTTACCAACCTCATTCTCAAAATGGCAGGGGAAAATGTCAAGTGACCTTTATTTATTCATTGGAATTACATTAGAGTTACATTCTGCCTTTCGTTCAGAATCTCAAGGGAGTCTATTTTTTTTTATTTTTTATAATACATGTTTTTTAATTTTAATTGAAACAAGTACAGCATCTTTCTTTACATCTGTAGAAAATGTATCAATCGATTACAGATCCTCCACGGTCAACAAACATAACTCATATTAACTTAAGCATTATTATATATCCATTTTCATTTGACTGTAATTATTATTTAAAATCAAGGGAGTCTATTTTGTGCTTGCTCCTATTTTTCTCTGGAGCAGCTCAGATATGTTGGGCTGAGAGAGGGATTGCACTGTCTATCATTTATAACCCTAACCCTGATTTTGCAATCCCTTCCTGTTCCCCCCCCCCCCGCCGTACCTGCTAAAGGAAAAACAGAATTGCATAACCAGGTTTCGTTTGCCTGGACCTCCCTTTGTTCTACACTCAATACAGTACATTTCTGTTAAAAGGTTTCAGTGAACCAATCAATGACTCAGCAGGAAGAGGCCATGTTAAATTATTATACATGGTGCAAATTAGACAGACTGTGTGGAAATAACCAATTGCACAATGTTGTTTGTCCAGTAATACTAGAACCAGCCACTAAATCTTTCCATTTTAGTAGTAAGGATGGTAAAAAATTACTTCTCAAATTACCATCACATTCTAAATGTGTTTTAGGAAACCATATTCCTCCCACTTTCCAATATAAAACATGTTTTTTCTTGTCCTTAGTGCTCAGTAAGAAATTATTCACCAGCTAGACTGAGCCACCAAGCTGATAGCAAAAGTCTTAATGACAGAAATGCATTCCAAATGTAATAGAACTCCTTTGAGTATATCCAATTAAGAATGAAATCATATAATGTTTCAAATTTGATTGCAGTTTAAGCTCTTAATATCTATATTACCTTGGTGCCTAATCCAAGGTCCTGCAGTTCTTTGTTATGAAAAGTTAGCAGGGGGAAAAAATCACTTTTTCTTCTGCTGCTTATGACTTTGCAAGAGGCAATCTATTCATGTGACCTTGGACTGACTGCTATTTCAATGTCAGCCTCCCAAAGTTGGAACAATCTTTTGAAGATCAGGAAATCTTAATATATAGGCTTTCCTGCTTGAGCAAAGGGTTGGACTAGAAGACCTCCAAGGTCTCTTCCAGCTATGTTATTCTGTTAATATTGGAATCTGTCCAGAATTGTAACAATGATTGATGGGTGTTACTCCAAATCCAATAGTTTCTGAGCTGAGTGCTCTACATTATTTTTAAAAATTAAAAAGATCAGTGTTTTTTTAACCTTAGCGATGTTAATTCTGGATTTCAACTCCCAGAGTTTTCCAACCAGCATTCAACTCCTGGAGTTGAAATCCACACATCTTTAAATTGTTGAGGTTGAGAAACATTAAAGATACACATTTTAAAAATAGTATGGTAAATGTCATTAATTCACCTTTGTATAAGTAAACATACGTGGGTTTTTTACAATCACACAATGGCCAGCTGGCCATTTTACTGCAATTGACAAACATATAAACGTCAAAATATAGGTGTAATAATTTATTAAAATATTTGTCCCTTTTTTGATTTTCTGCTTTTTGTATCTTTGCCATTGCTGGATGACTTTATTTTTTAAATAAATGTCATAAATACCAACCTTTCTTGTTCAATCAAACTCCATTTATGTACTAGTAGAAGCCATATGAGGGTTTCTAATGACATAGTAGAAGATTTTTACAATTTTTGTAAAAAAGCAATTTTTCACAGAACTATATATGTAACAATTACTAGATGACCAAATGTCTTCTTGGCTTCTTAATGGACAGTGGAGAATTTAATCCTCTTAATCAGTCAGCATATCTCTAATAAAGGCTGCAGTCTTCATTTGAAATGTCATTTCAAAGAGATAGAATATTTAGATCAGATTGGGGTTAACTGTAGGGGTGATGACATAATTTGAATATGTCCTATTATTTTCTTTGTATTCACTTGTATATTTCATATTTATATAGAATTTCTATTCAGTAGAAATTGTTGCATACATTAAAGACTGAAGAATCTAAAACCATATGTACTATAGAGAACAGGATCTGATGAGTAGGTTGCAACTGATTAAATTGCGAGCACTACAGAGTTGGAAAACAAGGTGTTGCAGAAGAATTTTTTATTGTCAAATTTAATTTGATGTTTTATTCACTCATTTTTCCCCAAAGAAAAATAGAAAGCATAGGGTTGACACCGCAATCTAATTATGTTGTTTGCTAGTTATAGTTAATTAAATGCATAGAAGAATGGCAGTAGTAATCAATCTTAGCAACAGGCTCCTTGGTCTTCCTCATTCTTAGACCCTCTAAACAAAAAGCATTATCTTTTGCAAAAACTCCAACTTAAGGCATGCTGGCTAGGAATTATGGAGAGTTGTAGTCACTCCAGGAAGATACAATTTGAGAGGAGGTTGGTGCATGGTTTGTGCTTGAGATGGATGGCTTGAATCTAATCTTTTAGTGATTCTTGAAAAGGGAAGAGATTGTTAGCATGCTAAGGTAGCAGCAGTTCCTGTTAGTTCATTATCTTCAAAATATCATATGTTCTTGTTTCTCTTTGATATCCCCCACTTTCCCCCTGCACTACCATGTGTATCACTAATCCTACAGCATGGTACTTAGTTCAATTTTATATTTAGATCCTTATTATCCCTGTCGTGTGTGCATTTGCCCTATATATAATGCCTGTAACTGTTCTACCACAACTGATCTACTGTTTCCATATTGTCTCAGAAGTGTCTACAGCCGTGATGGTGAACCTATGGCACGCATGCCACAGGTGGCACAGGGAGACCTCTCAGTGGGCATGTGAGCCATCACCCAGCTCAGCTCTACCACGCATGCATGCACGCTTCCTGCCGTCCAGCTATTTTTCGGATCTCTGCCGCACATGCGGGAGATGCATATGCATGCTTTCTTTTCCATTAGAAAATAAACAAAGAAAGACTCCATAGCTATTGGCAATCCAGTGTCTTTATGGACAATTTGTGATGTATCAGTTGACAAAAAAAGTAAACATGCAATATTTACACAGTTTATTAGACACCAATTAGTGGCAGAACATGACTGGGATCTGGACTTTCTGCTGCCAAGGGATGAGCCAGACTTCGAAATCGCATTTGAATTTCTGAAGGGGTGGGGGAACAAAAACAAATAAAGGCATTAAATCAGACAAAAGAAAAAAGCCAGAAAATTGCCTTGACTGCTTTATAATTCTATCATCAGCTATTTAAAAAGTTATACAAGAAGATGTTGCATTTTTGCAGTCAGCCTGGCAGTCAATGTGATAATAAGTGACTTACTGCAATGTCATCTTATGAAACAACGGCTTTCAAAGGAATTTTTCCACCTAATTTATTCCAAGAATCATTGGGAGGTGGCATATGCATTTAATAATAAACATTGTACAGTAAATAAATATTAGTAATGTACATTCCTTCTAATGTATTTTAGAAGGACATCCTCTGCAGAAACAATTTGCTCCATCTTCCTTTTCCATATACGAACACAGTTCAATTCCTTCCACTAAAGTGACAGGATACTGCAATCAAAAGTAGTTCCTGAACTGAAGAGGTCTCAGCAAAAAAAGCCTATGATGTTCTTTTCAAACCGGTAGCCCTTGCTTACTGGTCATTTGTTCAGCAATATTTGGAGTTAATATTGCTGTACTAGGAAACTCATGACCAATCCTCAAAATGGTTCCACCACAAAACCGCGTTCAACTAAAGCGCGCTCGACGAAACCGCGTAGCTGACGTCATCACAGTGCAAGGAAAAAAGCACGCTGCGAACGCTAAAGCTAAAATTAACACCTAAACCTAACCCCCCTAAACCAACCCTAAACCTAACCCTAAACCTAACCCTTAACCTAACGCTAAACCTAACGCTAACCCTTAACCTAACCCTAACGCTTAACCTAACCCTAAACCTAACCCTAACCCTTAACCTAACCCTAACCCTAACCCTTACCTTAACGTGAATCAGCTTGCTTTCAAAGCGTTATTTAAAGCGCCCTTTTTTCTCCACGGTCGCTGTTGTCGCCCTGCTGATGACATCAGCGACGCGGTTTAATCAGGCGTGCTTTAGTGGAGCGCGATTTTGTCGTGCCACGCTCAAAATTGCATCTATCGCAACCTCCACCCAGTCATGCGATCATAATCTGGGTATTTGGCAGCCAGTCCACATTTCAGACACTTGCAGCATCCTCTGGTCGTGTGATCGTGATCTGTGTGACCTTCGCTGCTGGCTTACTATGAGCAAAGTCAATGGGAAAACTGGCAGGAAGTCATAAGACATGATCACGTGATTTCCTTGCATAACAATTGCACACAACTGCCATCATAAATGGGCCCAATCACATGATTTTTATGACCACATCTCATAGTGGTGGAGTTGCTACACCCAATTAACCATTGTTAAGCAAGGACCGGTATTGTGCGTTTCTTTGATGTTCATTTACTTAACACCTGCTCCTCAAGGTTTGTTGTTTTATTTATTATTTTTAATTATTCCCCTCCTCCCCAATTTTTCATCTAGCATCTTTTCACTGTGGGAAATTCAAAGCTGTTTCATGAAATAAATTATTCTTGCTTTATTTGGAGAATTTGGGGCAATTGCTGAGGTCACTCAGGAAACCTATCCTGGAAGCAACACAGTTCCCTCAAACTTGGACAATGCAGATATAAGAAAGTGAAGCAGAGAATTTATCATGTTTGCTTACACTCTTCTAACATCAAGAAAAAGAGGCCTCAAGGCCATTCTAATTAACAATGTAGCAGGAGATTGAGCAACACTGTTGTTTCTACTAAATGACAAGAACTAAAATTATTAGTTGACACTGAAAAAGGATTACATGTTCAAAATATATGAGTGAATCCCATGCAAAATGAATTGTGGAGAAATAGCTATTCAGTTGTTGCTACTATTGCTACTAGTTGTCCTCTGCAAAATTCTGGACGAGTGGTAGAAGGCAAGAAGGACACACAGAAAATTATTGCTCTTTGCTGCCATCTAATGGTTGTCCAGATTTTCACAGTCCAAATCTGGTATTCCTACCCAACCCCGATTTCTTAGAACAGCGCAAAGAAGTTGAACACATACTTTTTGCAGCATCTTGTTCTTCTGGAAATCACATCTATCCAAGTTGGGATGTGGTATTCTTTTCCTGCATACAGTCCGGCAGATATCGACATCCAGTCTGTATTTCACTCCTTTCACAATCTAAAAAATAACATCAGTTTTCATATTATTAAAGAGCATTGAGAACAGGCAAAGTGAAGAGAACAGAGGCCAAAGAGAGGTCGGTCAAAAAGATTGGGGGGGAAAAGGTGAGGAAACTGGAGGCAATTGAGAACACTCATCCTACTGTTCACAAGTTGATCTGCAAATATTTTGTGTAATTATTTTTTAAAATAATAATTTCAAAGGATAGAGGCTATAATATCAGAAAACAAATTCTTGTCTATGCTAGGTCTTATCTAGCCAGGAATTGGAGAACACTGGAACAAGTTTCACAATAAAAAAAGTATAACTACCATCTGGGTTTATCTGGCCATCAACACAGCTGTGACAGCTGCTGGACCAAATCATAAACAATAGCTTAGCTTATTTCTTTCAGAAAGCAAGAATACAACCAATGCCTGAACCAAGTGTGGTTTGAAGGAGACTTTCCATCTTGCCAGGTGAACACCAGCTTTCTCTTTGTTGTTCTCTTCTTCTCCTGTGGACTTTAAGACCTTAGGAGGAGCACTGAACTATGAGTGGGGCTCCAACTACAAAAGGAATAGGCAGGCTGATGGCATCTGAGCAAGGGGGGAATCTGCTGGAAGGAGATACATGAGTGGGTGAGGAGAGCAAAAGAAGATGCAGGTGAGAGGGTGCAGCATCTGCTAGGAGAAAGAGCAGTGTGGTTGGTAAAGAAGAAGCTGGGATGGATTCCAGCACACCAACATGGGAAGAAAGGGGAAGCAGAGCTGTTGTAAGATACCTTCCTCATCCTCCCCAACTCCAACTGTAAGACTGTGCAAAACCAATGTTTCAGCTGCACTCAGAATAACAGCTAGTAGGTTGAAATTTTCCAATTTTCATGAACTCTTGATTGGCTAGAAAAAGGAATAAACAAATAAGTAATACTTTTGACCAATGGAGGAAGCTATGAGGATGCTTAACTCTGAACTGGAGTCTGTCATCAAGAAAAATTTTGATGGGTCTATAACAGTGATAGTGAACCTATTTTGTTTCTGGTACCAAAAACATGTGCATGCGCCCACACCCATAATTTAATGCCCCCCCGCCATGCCGTGGCCCCTGTGCATGCGCTCGTGCTTTTTTGGAGTCTGGAGAGAGTGAAAATGGCCTCCCCCGCTCCCCCGTAGGCTAGAAATGGCCCGTTTGCTGAATTCCAGTAGGTCCATTTTTTGCCCTCCCCAGGCTACAGCAGCTTTCTTAGAGCCTGGGTAGGGCAAAAAACAGGCCCAAGGGTCAACCGGAAGTTCATTCTCAACTTTCCGGTTGACCCATTGGGCCTGTTTTCCGCCCTCCCCAGGCTCCGGAGGTTTTCTTAAAGCCTGTAGAGGACTAAAACAGCGTCTCCTGGCCCTCCAGAAGGCCGAAAAATCAGATGTACGTGCCAGAGTTGAGGACTGCCGTGCCGGCTAATATGGCTCTGTGTGCCATCTGTGGCATGCCTGCCATAGGTTCACCATCACGGGTCTATACAGAAAATCATTTATAGCATAAATCAGTTTATAGCATAAATCAGATACTAATTATACAGAGGATATTAAAAAAGAACAAGAGACACAATGAGGTGGAAAATTCTCAATCCACCGTGTCAACTCAACTACAAATGCTGCACAATGCAAATAACTGAACTGTATCTTTGGAATATAAATTTGATACCAACTTTTATTATGATGATGGTTTGAATATAACCCTCTCAGTGCAACTGAAACAAGAGTGCCAAGTAAATTCACAACTTTTAAGAGGTCAAGTTTGGGATTTTTTCTTCAAGGATAGAAATAAGGTTGAGAATTTCTTGAAGAAAAGAGATTTGCTAGACACTCCTGAGAAGAAAAAGATTTTGTTAGATCGGGTAATGGAAAGGCACACTCAGGCTAAAGACAACAACAGCTATTTATTGTAACAGAACAAGTATGTACAATCCACGAAGGTTGAGTCTGACAGCAGCCCTTTTATAGGGAGCTGTCAGACCCTTCGACCAATGAAATTAAACCTCTGTTCCCGCCGACAGAGGACCTTGGTGGAAACCATTATAACTGTAGCTAGTATCTAACAGATTTCATTCTGTGAAGATAAGCTGAAGGGAGTGACTTAAATTTAATGACATAATTAGTTAGGATGGATTTTTACAAGTTTAATATATGTATTGAAACAAAGCTTCAAGTTAGTTTTGTATATATACAATGAGTTTGTAAATGCATATCTTCTGTCTTTTTATGTAATGTTGAATAATTCTCAAAGTTTATAAAATACTATTGATTAAATTTGAAAATAAGAGAAGGAAAAGCTTTACTCCATCAGGATAAAATCAAGGGAGAGATTTGAATTCAATGAGCTAACTGGAGTTAATTGGATATATATTGGTGTGATATATATAATTGAATGAAAGTTCTAATGTAGTTTTGTGTTTTGGGTTCTGAATTTAAAATGGTTTCTTTTCCCCCTTTATATACAATCCTTGAATATTTTTTAAAGTTAGTAAAATATCAAAAATAGAAAAAGTGTTTTCTTCCTTTAGAATTAAAAAAATAAAATAATATAGAGGATTCTCTTAGTATGAAATATGCTGAAGATTAATGAATTAACAGAAACATATATTATTCCCCACAGCAAAGAGAAGTAGAGATGGTCAAATTGATTATTTTATCCAAAGAAGAAAATATATCTAACCTTGTTTCTATTTTGAAATTGCTTCCAGATTTTGTGCTTGCAATGAAAAAAAAGAAGAAACTTTGATTTTGCTTTTACTAATTAGATAGGTTTATTGTTATAGAAATGGCTTTTACATACTGTTGTATAAAAATAAAAAGTTGTGGTTGTAATGTTATTATCTTCTACTGTGCTAAAGAAGAAGTTGGTGCCTTTTTCTTTCCTTTACCATCTTTACACCAACTCTTGCCTTCCCTCTCCCCCTAGATTTCTATTACTTTTTTAAATTTTTGTTTGTATTTTATATTTTGATAAACCAATCAAAAAGTTTCATTGGAGAAAATGAAAAAAAAAAAGCTTCTCAATCATCCAGATCATGGTTGTCCCAAAGGTGCTTTCCAATAGGGAACTGGACTTTCTTGGGTTTTTCCTTGAAAATGTTTCGCTTCTTCAGTTGAACTTCAGTTCATGAAATAAAACAGCTGTTGTAAGAGAAGTGAAACGTTTTCAAGGATTTTTTTTTAAAGTCCAGTTATCTTTTGAAAAGCATTTTTGAGACATACTGTATTTATAGGGCTCTTTATGACTTAGATTCATAACATACAAAGGAATAGGTATATATTAAAGTATTAGATTATTACTAGATTAGGCATTAGATTCATAGCATTGATGGGCATATAGCATAGCATTGAATATGTTTGGTGATCAGGCTAAATTCAAAAGTTAAGAAAAAGCTCTAAGCTCCTTATGCCTTTTTTGCATATTAAAAGCCTTGAGAGAAGAGAACACAAAAGCCTCCTTATCAGTGACCTGTACCATTTCTCAAGGGGAGAAAAATAACCCTCTCACTAGGACAGGAACAAAAAAGCAAGTTATATTTTGCATTTTTAATCAGCAAAAGAATTAACTGCATTTATTGCTATAAGAATCAAGCAGTACTTACCTGCACTGTGGCTTTATTTATATGAGATTCTTTGAACAAAAATATATCATTTGTACTGTTGTTGTATTTATAAACCCCAAGCCTAGCAGCTCTTTGAACGTTGGGGTCATTTGTCTTTACAGGGAAAGGAGATCCAGGTTGAATCAATGAATTAGGGAACTGCCCAGAGGCACCTGTGCAAGAATAACAATGTACAAATGGACAATTATCTTAAACTCTCAGCCTGGGAAGAAATATTTTATCAGATGATTTATTTCTTTTGATAGAATATATGTCTTTATGCAATACACACACATATGACTCCCTAGAGTGCGCAATGTGTCCTCTCAAAGCACAAAGAGAGGTCAGGTAGTCCTTGAATTACAACTACAACTGAGCCCAAAATGTCTGTTGCTAAGCGAAATATATGTTATGTGAATTTTGTCATGTTTTATGACTTTTTTTACTACAATTGTTAAGTGAATCACTGCAGTTGCAGTTAGCGACACGGTTGTTAAGTGAATCTGGCTTCCCCGTTGACTTTGCTTGTTAGAAGGTCACAAAAGGTGATCACATGACCCCCCCAAGACACTGCAATCGTCATAATTACGAATCAGCTGTCAAACATCTGAATGTTGGTCACATGACCATGGGAATGTTGCAATAGTTGTGTGAAAAACTGTCATAAGACATTTTTTTCAGTGCTGTTGTAACCTTCAACCATCAGGAAATGAACTGTTCTAAGTTGAGGACTATCTGTATACTTCCATAAATCCTAAATCTTACGGATGAATTACAAGGGCATACCCTCATTGTAAATTCCAAGTAACGTATAGCAAGCCAAGGACTGAAACATAGCTCCAAATACAATAAGCTATATAATAAATTTTTGCATTTAATGTGCAGGGAGTCACTGCCCTTGAGGAGTCCAGAAATATTCTCCTATCTCATTGTGCTTTGAAAAGATCTATCTAACCCTTCTCTGGTTTGTCTTAAAAAGTCATCGATTTTCTTTTCTTGTAGGCTGAATGGCATCTGTTGCTGTTATTGTCTTTACAGGGAAAGGAGATCCAGATTGAATCAATGAAATAGGGAACTGCCTTTTTTGCAGGGTCACCTGTGCAAGAATAACAATTTACAAATGGACAATTATTTTAAACTCTCAGCCTGGGAAGAAATATTTTATCAGATGATTTCTTTCTTTTCACTAGGCTAAGGATTAGGCTAGATGTCTCCAAGTTTACTTCCCACCCTTGGATTGAATGGGCAATGGCAAAATTTAAGAAGGATTATGGGAAGAAAATACAAGGAAATTTAGAAACAAATTGTGGGTCAATGTTTCAGTTATACCCCTGCCTTATACTTTGTGAGGGTGTTTGCAGAACTCAATAGTAACCTCTGTTTTGCTTGTTGTTGTCAGTAAAACAAACAGTACTTGCAACTCGTAAAAAAATTTAGTGGGTGGCTCACTGAAGTATCGATTTGCATCAGCATGTACTGTGTTTCCTCTTTCCCTGAAAAATGTCACTTATGCGCATATATTAAATATTCCTTCTTAACATCTAAAGCAACGTAAATGTCAGTGCTACACTCTATTTCTAATGTAGCTTCATTTAATTGTACTTTAAACAAACACTACAATGGAAGGAGCAAGTTAGTAATTTATCAAGCCCCAGATCATTTTTAAGCTTCCTGCCTCTGCTTTTTCTGTGTATTCTCATTTGATGGTTTATTTAATTGGTTTTGTTGATGATCGTACAAAATGAGCCATAAAAAACAAAATGCTGCCCTTTTCCATGGTAGAACTATATATCATGATAATAATATAAAAATAATGACAGCGCAGCAATATGAGCAATGAGAACTTTCTAGCATAAGAGACTCTAATGTCACAAATGTATTCATAAAGTTGTCATACTTTTTAAAAATAAACTTGTTGAATAAACAATTCACGGTTTGAAGGACATTTCACAATGGCCAGGCTTTGGAAATGGAATTATTCAACTGCTTGCTATCATAAGCTAACAATCCACCCAATATTAAACAGCATTAGGAAGATCAACATTTCCTCTCTTATGCAACCTATTCAGAATATTTAAGGTACATTCTGATCTTACCAGTTGAAGACTTGGGCACACCATAGAGAAGCAGAAAGCAAAGAATAATTATCCTCCATCCAAAGAACATTGTTGTCTTGCTTTACCATAAACAGAATTGCAGCAAAGTGGCAACTTCGTACCTTCACCCAAAACAGGAAATGGGGATTTTCACTGCTTGTTCAGAAATTCTCATTGGTCAGGAACAGCCTGTGTTTTTTTTAAAAAAAGATATAACTTCTATTAGCTTTTTTTTTCATAACTCTGATTAACAGTTTTACTGGGTAGTTTTAGAAAAGTGTAAAACAAATGCACACAGTGGAATAATTTGCCTCCAAAAATGGTGATCTATTTGTGTTGTATATTATGAGCTGGCAGATAACTACCCCACTTGGAAAGTAAAAAAAAAAATCTTTTGTGGAAGTCATTAGGACTGCAGCGGCAATTTCCATGTGATTTCCTAACTTCTGCATAATTGCCTTTGCAAAATCCATACTTTATTTCAGAACAGAAAAGGAACTGGTAGACAATTGTAACACAGAGTTACAAAATTTGGTTTGTTGGTTTGAATTATACCCCTGCCTTTCCTATAGGAGCTGAAAGTGACATTCATTTTCCTCCAGAATATAATCCTATGAAATAGGTTGAGGTGAAAGACAATGAATTCACCTATTCTCCGACTGGTAGAAAATTATCCCACTGGCCTTGATGTTTCCAGATTTCTGCCAGTCACCTGACATCTTTCCAAGGAAGTGAGGGAGTATAACAGATTTGTATATACTTTGAGGCTGGTTTTGGAACTACTCATTAGCAAAGAAATAGTCAATGTGATCTCTTGAAGTAAAGGAGGAGGAGGAGGACCTTATAAGGTAGTCCTCGATTTACAACAGTTCCTGTGGTGACTGTTCAATAAGTTACAATGGCACTGAAAAAATGACACAATTTTTCACACTTACGACCTTTGTAGCATCCTCATTATCATGTGATCAAAATTCAGACTCATATTTATGACCGTTACTGTGTCCCAAAGTTATGTGATCATCTTTTGCAACCATTTGACAAGCAAAATGTTTGGGGAAGCCAGATTCACTCAACAATCATGTGACTAACTTATCAACTGTGATAATTCACTTTAAAACTGTGGCAAGAAAGGCTGTAAAATGGGGCAAAACTCATTTAACAAATGTCTCACTTAAGAACAGAAATTTTGTACTCAATTGTGATAAGTCGAGGGCCACCTGTACCCTTTGAATGGTCAGCAAATTTATTATGGCATAAACTTCTATATTGCCGTTTACTGAATGAGTGAAGTATTTTGCTGACTTTATAAAGGTACAAATGGGAAATGATAGTATAAATATTTAACTAACAATTCATTTACTTTTAAATAGGTTTCAAATTGGTCCCTCTATTCATTTTACATATATTTAAAGTTTAATTTTATTGTATTTTGGTATATGAGCCCTGGTGATGCAGTGGTTAGAATGTAGTACTGCAAGCTACTTCTGCTGATTGCCAGCTGCTTGCAATTTGGCAATTCGAATCTTATGAGGCTCAAGGTTCTTGCATCCATCCTTTCAAGATTGATAAAATGAGGACCCAGATTGCTGACGACAATATGCTCAGAGTAAACCGTTCAGAGAGGGCTATAAAGCACTGTGAAATGGTATATAAGTCTAAGCACTATTGCTATTGCTATTGATCATCATCATCTAACTTCATGATTTATTATTTCTCCCCTCTTAGACCATGCAAAGATAACCGCCCAATGCACTGATCTATATAAAACTTAGTTTCCAGTAAAGATGACTATTTTTTTCCAACCTTGCAAGCGTCCAAAGCTTTTTCCATGATGAGAAAATGAGGTCATAGATAGCATTTTTCAAAGGAGCAGGAAAATAAAATTTCCAAGAAGGATAAATTCCCAAAGGAGAGGTTGAAAGAAAATTAGGATGAGGCATTCATGGGGCTCTTCCTCACAGCTGTGAGGCTCTTCCTCACCACCAGAACTCTGCACTGACTGGTAGTCCCTATCTTGCTACAGGCAAGAGGTCACCAACAGTGGTTCCTCATATAGGACATGATGAAGAAAAGGATTGGAGGTCACTCCAGCTTTGTGTTTCCTCCCCCTTTCATTAAATACAGCCTTACCCACCAATAGAAAAACATTCCTTTATCACCTTAGCATGAGATGGAGAGGAGGCAAGTTTTGAAGGATGGACAGTTCAACATTTTTAGCTATCTATTAAAATTCAGGATTTTTGTAAGTATTTTGCCTGTGTGAGTTAAAAAATGGTCTCACTAACAACTGGGAGATGCTCTGTAGAGGCTGTTTGATGAGGCAGGAGTGGGTTGTCCTATTGTTCTACGCAAGCTTCCCACTAAACCTGTAAGCTGCCATTTCAAACTGCATTAAACCCAACGTTAAAAATAGCCTAAAAGTACACTAAATGTATGGGACACTTTGTGGAATAGTATCTCCCTCTTGTTGTATCCCCAGGACCTCTCAGTTCTTAGGTTGCTGACCCTTCTTCCAAAGCCAGCTCACTGATCTGGAGATTGGTTCAGAGAATTAATGGAATAGGGAAGCCCAGTTTGAAAAATCACTCAAATGGGAGGGACCAGAGTCCAGAGGAGATAACAGGCTGAAGCTGGCCTTGCATGGCCAATAGGCGTTGAGCCAATTAAACTCTCCCTATCGGTCACCTGATTCTGCCACTGAGAGAAATGTTGATGAATTGTATAATAAGAGCCAAGGTGGCGCAGTGGTTAAATGCAGCACTGCAGGCTACTGCTAGATCAGCAGTT